TCGTTGGTCATTTTCCCCTTTGGAGAGAGGGAAAGGAGGACGGCGAGGAAGGGGATACATACATGTGTCCATGTGCATGCAGGGTGGGCGTGCATGTGTACACACACGTGGGACATGCATGTCTGTGTGCAGGTGTTCACGTGTGAGTGGCCACATGTATGTGCATATGTAGGTGTGCCTATGTATTTGTGTGTGTTCTATGTGTGCCTGTGTGTGTTCTATGTGTGTGGTAGGCTACATGTTTTATTATTGTTTCGTATTATTATATTTGTATTAAGATACAAAATTTTATATTAAAAATTTGTAATTTTGTATTAAAAATACAAAATTAGCTGGGCGTGGTGGCTCACACCTGTAATCCCAACACTTTGGGAGGCTGAGGCGGGCAGATCACAAGGTGAGGAGATCGAGACCATCCTGGCTAACACAGTGAAACCCCATCTCTACTAAAAATACAAAAAAATTACGCTGGGTGTAGTGCCGGGCTCCTGTAGTTCCCAGCTTACTTGGGAGGCTGGAGGCAGGAGAATGGCATTGAAACCCGGGAGGCCAAAGCTTGGCAGGTGAGCTGAGATCCGGCCACTGGCCACTCCAGCCTGGGCAAGGAGAGCACAGACTTCGTCTCAAAAAAAAAAAAAAAAAAGTGTTTTTGAGAAGCATGGCCATGGCCTCTGCACAAAACACACAGAATCCTTCTCAGTCAGTCTGGAAGTGGGCCTGTCTGCAGAGAGAACACCCACATCTGAACTGCAATCATCAGTCGGTCAATGTCTCCATCTGATTTTCCCACAGTGGATCAAACCTGAATTAGACTATCTGACCACAAGCTAAACATATAGAAATATCTTCAAACTATGTCTCTTCAAAGTTCGAAAAAAGGAGATTTTTAAACTCCCATCCTAGAAATTGTTTAACCCACAATTATGATTTAAAAGTGTGTGTGTCGTGCTGTGTCGGACATGAATTTTTTCTTACAAAAAGTCTGTGCTCTTTAATTTTTTAGATGTATCAGAAAATGGAGCAATAATGTACCAATTTTATTCTCCAAAGCAAACCTACGCAGGTTTGAGTGACATAAATAGTAGGCGAACGGTCTCGACATGATGACTGCTTGTTTGAATTTAAATAGCCTACTTTCAAGAACTAGCCATTTCAATGATAAATGAAGGACGTGCATATTAAATAAATTAAACAGACTATTTCAGTCTTTGCACATGAATGATCTGAAATATTGGCCCGGGCAGGTCCCTTGGCTCTGTCATTCTATCCCATGTGTATTCACAGAATGAACAAAGCCATGTTCCTTAGTCCTCAGCTCACTGCTGAGTTCTTGGGATGTGGAAGGCACAGGCAGGAACTTTTCTGCCTGTATGTGCAGAAGATGCTAGGTTCTCCCTAAATGATCCTAGGTTCTGCCTGTATGTGCAGAAGATGCTAGGTTCTCCCTAAATGGTCTTAGATGAAGGCTGATCCAAAGTGATTCCTGCCAATTCATCAGTAACACCCTGCTGAAAATATACAAAAGGTCCTAAAGGTTTTGCCTTAGAAGGGAGATACTACTGGGGATGGCAGATCCCCACAGCAACACCACAAGCCAAGCCAGCAAGCAGCACACTCTGTTCCCAGGACAGATGTCCCACCAAGCAGCCGCAGCCGCCACCTCACCTGGCCTTCACATTCCCCCCAAGGGGCCAGAACTGTCATTCTCAGACGGGTTAAGGAACCTGCCCCCAGTCCACAGATCCATAGCAGAGAGTAGGACTGAACTGGCTGTACCAGACCCCGCTGGCTCAGGGCCCATCTGTCCCCATCTGTCCTGAGAACATGGACTTCTGTGAACCTTAATCTCCTTCTGGTTACAGACCACCGGGAAATGCTGAGAAAGCCCCAGTCCCTTCCCTGAAACGGGGCTCACCCATACCTAGAGTCCACACCTTGCATGGTGGGCCGGGGGGACCGGCCCCAGGCTGGTCACAGAATCAGGCCCTGCACATCCCAGTGCTTGGGTCTGCTGGCCCCACCACCCTGAAAGTTGCTCTCTTATGAAGTTCACGACATGCCCTGGCACCAAGGGTGCTGGCAGAAGGCAAGCCTGTCATGGGGCACAGGCACCCAGCCAGGACTCCCGGGAACCACCTACAGCTAAAGCAATCACCCACGCTATGTGAGGACAGCTCAGAGCTGCACCATGTCTCCTCCGAGGGGATGCTATGCTGACCCCCTTCCTCACAAAGCATTCCAATAAAGACAGAGGACTTCATTTTCCTTTCCCAATAGCTGGTTTTTGCAGGCTAGGTGGGAGGGGTACCCCTGAGCACTCACAGGCCAGGGAGGTGGCGCTGGTCGGCAACGTAGGTGGCAGGAGGTGCTGGTCGGCCTCTGGCTCCTCGGGCTCTGGTGGCCCGGGCTGCCCAGTCTGTGCATGGTAGGTCACCTGGACCTGCAGGGGCACCGGCGGACCCCTGGTCTTGTCCGGGCTGCCCACATCCTGCTGCTCCTTGGGCTGCAGCGCAGGCCAGATCCTCTCCCGCCGCCACTGGATCAACGCCACACGGTCACGGATAGACTTGGCCACGATCTTGACGTCACTCTCGTGGAAGAATCCAGACTCAATCTGTAAAGGCAGTCATGTTGTCAGCATCGCAGGGGATCAGCCCACGCCGGCCCATACCCCTTACCTAAAGTGCTTTCCCATCATTGGTTCATCCACATAGGACACACTCGCCACCCCACTGCCACTGAGCGTAAAATCCGCGGGGCCAGCTCAGAGATGGCATGGCAGGGGTTTGCCAGGCAAGGCAAAGGAAGACCACCACCACGCAGGCCTGACTTGCCTCCCGCAGAGTCCGCACCAAAAGCGAAGCAGAGCAGCCCCTGGACCGGACTTCAGGGCTCCCTGAGCTCCCGGCCACCCCCGGGCTGGTGGCGGATGGGATGGAGCTCCTGCTTGTCTTCATGCTCAGAAGTGCTGACAAGGAGCTTCGGGGCTAGCATTTTCCTGAAATGTCTCTGAGTCTGGGGCTGCCCAAAGATGGGGAACGGGGCCACACCCGAGTTGTAGATGGAGGAAGGATGTGCGTTTTGTATTAGACCAGTAAGGTATGCACTGATGCCTGGCAAATTTTAAAACTGATTTACCAAGCAGAACCTTGAGGGCATTTGTAAAAGAGCCCCAAGGTCTCCAGGAAACATCATGAGCTCGCAGAGAATATTCGCGGAATAACTACCAAGCTCGCAGAGAATATTCGCGGAATAACTACCTTCTTTCTTCTGATGAAAGAGATCCCTTTGGAAGGGGCCGCTCTTGCCAGGCTGCAGTTGTAGTGATCACAAACACATGAAAATACGGGAGAACAAAGATTCCAAATCCACCTGCGCTTCCCCTCCCTTCCTGAGCACCTCAGTTCTAAAGGCGCTAGGTCAGGCTGGACCAGCCAGGCCTCTGCAGTAGGGCAGAGGTGCCCATGCGGGAGGGCATCCTGGCTTCAGGGCAGTGCCAGGCGCAGAGGGAGTCACAGCTGTGGGGGAGGGGAGGTGGTGACAGCACCACTGGAGGCCGGCGACCCCGCAAAAGTGACCAAACAAGAAAATATATAGGAGTAGTGGACACCAGGCTCCTCAGGTGTGGAGAGGTAAACATTTTCAACAGGAACCTTTTTGCCGGGTGGGAATTGGAGCTGTTGGTGTGAAGCGCACAACAGACGTGAATAAACACAGACAGACTGCACAGGCAGACTCACGACACCTTCGTGGTGTAAATGCACAGACACATGTGTACTTGTGAACTGAGTTCACCAGGAGGACCCACAGGAAGGAGCGCGCGGAGCTCAGCCAGGACAGGAACGCAGTGAGGCTCCACGAAGCGGCAGCTCCCGGCTCGGCAGGAGAAGGACAGGATGAGCTTGACAGTGAGGACGTGCTCAGAGTGACAGGGACGTGCAAAACGGCACGGGAGCCAGTGCCGAGGGCCTCCTGCTGGCAAATCTGGGGCATTTTGAGCATCAAAATGCACAGTAACACAATGACGGTTTGAAGGACATGTCCACAGACTCTGACACGCATTTTCCATATGGGGGTGGTAGGAGGGACGAGGTGTCACTGCTGGTATCAGGTGGGGGATGGCGGGTAAGTGTGGCCTCTCGACCTCCATCTCTCCCTCCCTCTGTTTCTCCTCTGTGGCTCCCTCACCCAGTCTCTTTCCCTCCCTTTCCTGTGGATCATCTGCTCTAGGGGAAGCCATGTCACAAATGACCCTATGCAGAGGCCCTCCTGGCAGAGAACTGAGTTCTGAGGCAGGGTCTGAGACTGCAGCCCTGGCCAACACCCGATCCCACCTTACTGGGGCCCTGAGCCCAGGCACCTGATCCCTGACCTCCAAGGCTGGGGCCAGGGCGTTTCCAGTGACTCGCTAGGCAGCAATGGGACAGCTCATCCGTGGAGCAGGACCCATTGAGTAAAACAGAAAACCGTGAGGCCACAGACAGGTAAAGAAATAAGCGGGAAGCTTGGTGACAAACAGATATTTCCAGTGCCCAAACGTTCTCCATGAGACACGTACAGTTGCGAAAGGTGAGAGGAGCTCCACTTAGAGAAGCCACAGGCGCCCTGCACCAAGCTCAGAGCCAGCATCTGCCTAACCGGCGGGTGAAGCCGTGCACCCCTGGGAAACACATGCAAACTCAGCCCCTTCCACGAGATTCCTGTGGAGACGCAAGACCTGACTGTGACCCACCCACGAGGGACGCCTGAGCCCGTCCCTAGGGACAGGACATGGAAGTCAGGCACAGAAGGGGCCCAGAGGCCTCGTGATGGTGTCACTGGGACAACTGGGGACCTGAGTGACCCGAGGATGGGAGGATGGGGCTGAGGATTGACGGTACTTCCGGATGCAAGACCGTGCCCTAGATTCAGGAAGCAGACATGAAAGTATTCAGGGCTTCAGGGGAATCAGGTCAGCCACTTAGTCTCAAATGGTTCGTGGAAAATAAATGGTTCTTTGTAGTGTCCTTGCAATTTTTCAGTGTTTGTGATTATTCAAAAATCTTTGTTTCAAAAGACAATTTTTTTCCACAGAATGACGTTCCCTAACAAAAACAGCTGCGGTCAGTCTCCCCTGACTCAGAAGAGACATGAGTGGGGTGGGGGAGGGGGGTCAGTGAGGTGGGACAGAGAGTGACAGCTCAGTCAGTGGGACCTGCCCACACTCAGGGTCACCACTGGCCCCAAACCAGCCCCAAGGCCACTCAGCAGCAGGGCAGCCCAGCTGGGAAGGAGGAGAAACGAGGCACCAGGTTCTCTTCTGGCTCAGAGTCCAGAGCGGACTCTTTTCTAGGGAGCCCCAGAGAACGGGCTCCAACCCTAGGGGGTCTCACAGGGAGGCCGAAGCAGGTGTCCCTGTCACTGGCACCCAGGGGCAGGTATGCACAGCCTGCCAGACCTGTTTGGCCCAGGCCTCTGCTCCTAGTGAGCATGTGGGTGAGGCCATTCCTGAGGCTCCATGTAGCCTCAGGGTCATATCCAGGGCGTGGCCCCACCCTTGCCCACCTTGGCCCAGATACGTGACCAGAGGCTGCCGAGGCCACGTCCTCCTGCTGCCGTTACTATCTGCTGCTGGTGCCGCAGCCCGCAGCCCATTTTCCCTGGAGACTCTGTCTTCATCATCACCCCCAGCCTTCCTCTCTAAAGTGTTTCTTCTATTTTTTTTCCCAAACAGGAAAACATTTAGCCATGGTGAGTGCCACACAGGCACATCGCATTATCAGGAGAGTATGAAGGTGGAGGGGAGGGCTGGCTGGGAATCCCCTTGGGGGCCGACTCCCAGAGTCCCTTCCAGATCGAAGCTGGCCCAGGCCCCACAGAGCCCGCTATTTCCTCTGTCTCTCCCTGGGGAGCTCCATCTGGCCCCTTCCATCCGCCCAGTGGAACTCATTGAGAGGTGACTTCAGGGGAAAGAGAGCTCTGCCCCATCTGCATCCTCTCCCACCCTCAGGGTCCTTCCAGAAGGAAGTCTCACCTGGATTCCGGAACATCTCTAAGACCCAACACTTGCTAATCTCAGGGACTTTTGTTTGTTTGAGACAGGGTCTTGCTGTCATGCAGCGGCATATGGCTCACGGCAAAGGCCTCCTAAGCTCAAGCAATCCTCCTGCCTCGGCCTCCCAAAGTGCTGGGAAGACAGGCATGAGTGACTGCACCCAGCCTAATCTCAGATGTTAGGAACAAGAGCGGCCTCAGAGCCAGGTGCTAGTGTCTCTCTAGCCTCAGCAGATATACAGACATCAAGCTGTTTTCACTGCATCATGGCAAGGCCCCTCCAGTCTACGGCCCATGGCAGGGCTGGTGTCGGGACCCCAGGGAGGCCAGTGAGGGACTCTGGTGTCTGAAATGGGTGGGAAGGAGGAGTGTGAGGTTAGAACCTGGAAAGGCCCCATAGAGACCCAGTGTCGACCTGCCGGGGCACACAAGCTGTTTCCGGGGAGTGAGACCCAAGGTAGGCGCATGTAGCTTCCAACTGCTGTCAGGCAGCTCTTGAGGTGCTGCCTTCCCTGTTCTTAGCAGAGTGGGGCGGGTGCTGTTTATTGTTGTGCTTTAGCCAAGCACAGGTCGTGTCCCTTCTTCTTGGATGCTCTATTTCACAGGAGACATGTCTCACCATGAAAAAAATGTAAAAGATGCAGAAGAGGGTGAAGATGCTGGGGCCAAGGGGCCTCTGCTGTGAACTGACACAGGAACACAGCCCCAGAGTTCAGCCAACTGCTGGGGTGGGGACTTGTGTGGTGACGGGTGCAAGAGGCTATAGGTTAAAGGGACAGCTGCATCCTCAACAACCCTGCAGGAGGCGGGCAGGGCTGGGGAGGTCGAGTATTCATGTGAATGAAAAGCAGGGAGGAGTCGGAGTCTTGTGAGTCTCCTCCTGCTCGCCTGTCTCGGGAACAGCTAGACAAGGCCCAGGGCAGGTTCTAGGCTTTGCCACCTTAGGACAGAACCCAAGACAGGCAAGGAGGCCATGAGGTCGGCTGGAGGCAGCAACACTGCTCCTATAGAATCCTGGGCCCCTCCCCAGGCTGCACCACCCATATTGGAATCAGCGCTGAGCCGGCTGTGATGTCCCCTCTGCCGCTCAGCCATTGCTGCAGCACTTGGCCTCCTGACACGGCTCCCCAGTCCCTCGTACCCTGTCCCCCCAGCACTGACCAAGCATAAACACATTCGTGGAAGGAACAAGAGCGCCTCATTCTCCTGTCCTTCCTGAGCTGTCACCACATCAAAACCAGGTCATCCAAATGTCCTCCTATCCTTGCCATTGGCCCAGACCTCAGCACTGGGACAGAGGTAACTCCCTGAAAGGCAGAGCCAGCACAGCTGCCCCAGGACCTTCCTCATCCTCACTTGTGCGTGAGACTCCCAGAGGTCATCCTCATCCTCCCTCGAGGCCACCTTCTGTCCTCTCAAAACCTCAGCCCTCCCACCAAGCGGCCACCCAGGTGCCTCCAGAAAGATGTTCTTGGCCTGCAGCCACCATCTCAGTCCTTAGCTGGCAGGCTGTACACAGCCTGTGCAGCACCTCACTTAGCACTTGCTATTTGCATTGAATGTGTGAAGGGACAGCTGTATTACATCAGCAGAGAAATGGTGCACCTGAAGTCACAGGACAGATGTGCTGCTAATTATCCGAAAGTAATTCACAGCAAACTTGGAGCAATTCGATCTGAAAATGTACCTCTGTGCACCACACAGTCATCGAGAGCCATGAAAGATCCTCCAGGAAGCACAGAGCTCATCAACCCCGTTAGATCTGCTCATAGCAGAGGCTTCTGTGTCTGGGTCAGGGATGTGACCAGAGACAACCCAGATGAGAGTGGGCCGGGTGGGGACACAGGTGGCCACTTTGCAGCATCTGGGGTGATGGTGCAGCCAGCTTGCAGGAGCCCCACAGAGAAGCCAGCCTGGGCATCACCCCACAGTGGGATGCTGTAGCCATCCTCATTGTGCTATCACAGCCCAGGACATGGGCCACTGTGCAGGGGAAGGCAGAGCCCTGGCTGAGGCACTGGCAGCCTGAGGAGGCATCTCCTCCAATCCAAGTCCCAGGTGCTGAGGCCCTGCACTCAGGTCCACACCAGAAGCACCCCATCCTACAGCTGTGGAGAGGCTAGGAGCAGTAGGAAGCGTGCCAAGACCCCAGCAGGACCTTAGTTCATGCAGCCCAAAGCCCTCAGCCCCAGGAGCGGCCCCGTTCCACCTGCTTCCTTCCTCGGGGATCACAGTTGCAGGAAGTCCAGCCGAGAGACCGCTGCTCCCCGCACTGACCTCACGGCGTAGCCTATACCATGTGGCCCACTGAATCCCTCATGCACCACACACCAGGACCCCCACGGACAAGGAGCTGCCAGGAGGAGCAGAGTCTGTGACAAACACGCAGCTCACTGCACCCCAGCGTTCCTGGCTCTGAGGGCCCACGCACCTTCACGACATCGCCAAGCCTCAGTTTCTGCACCTGACTGAGACCTTCGCAAGAACCTTCCAGAGCAGCCACCCCTCCCACTTCTGTGCAACCCCCATCCAGGTATGATCCACTTCCCCTTACTGAGACCCAGCCCGGCCTGGAGAAGTGAAGCTTGGGAAGAATCATCAGCCTGGAACTGGTGACTGACGGACATTTTCAACACACGTCACATATTCAGGAAAAAGCTTATTTAAAAGACAGAAAAAAGGGCGAGCACCTTTGTGGTCAGGACACATGAGCCGAGGGCTCTCCGCCATGAGCACACTGGATTTATTTCTGCTCGGGTGTTCACTGAAAATACGCAACTTTCCTACCCTGCAATACGAGCCGCCTTCTTCCCAGCCTCTCGTGCCCACTGGTCTTCCCCTTTGTGACACTGTTTTCACCTGTTCCGGCGCAGACATTCCTGTCCTTCGTATCAAGTTGTCTGACTTAATGTCAACATTTGTTCATGTTTTGTAGCCAACAACAAAGACGTCTCTGTCTGTCTCTAGGCCCTGCGTGAGGGTTCTCAGGAGGCAGCGTTGGCCCTGGGGCCCTCCCAGGCCAGGCTCCCACCACTGTCCCTCTCTGGCGTCCACTGCCCAATGCCCAGCAAACATGCCCTATCTGCAGGGATGTGACCAAAGCCCGCTTGCCCAAGAACTTCTAACAGCCCCTGGCCCAGGGCAGCAGTGCCCCATGGCAGCAGCGCCCCACAGAACATTCCAGGCCAGAAACGTCCTGCATTGCTCAAGACAAGAACCACTAACCACCCTTGGTACTGAGCACTTGAAATGTGGCCAGTGGGACTGAGAAAGTAGATTTTAAATTTTAATTAATTTATATTTTAATAGCACAAGTGGGCAGTGGCGATTTTACTAGATGGCAGAGACCTGAGAATCAAGTCAGAATAATCTAGATCCATCCCACCTGCTGTGCCTGTCCCCACATCCCACACAATTCCCACTCCATCACTGACCCCCTGGCATCGTCAGCGTGGCCTCTCCTCCTACCACTGCGTCTGGACCACTCCCACTCGCTTCTGCCTGTGCCTGTGGCTCTGTCTCTTCTGCCTCTCATTCCAGCCGGCTCGGTGCCCCCTCCACTGAGGCCCAGATAACGCCCCAGCACAAAGGGCCACTTCTGCTGCCCGGCCCAACCACTCCTCATCCACAGAGCTGAAGATGATGGGAGGAGAAGGAGGAAGAAAAGAGGCGGAAAGGTACCCCCCACCCGCCCTTCTAGGTAGAAAAGTCCCAGATCCCAGAAACCCAATACAACAGTGCCCCAAACAAAAGGAAAGGCAAAGATCCCAAACGCAAAGCCACCACATTGGCACAAAGTCAGCAAGAGTCCGGCAAAGCAAGCGAGGCCTTTCTGACACGTCAGAGGTCCTGGGTTGCTCTCTGCACACCCACCCTGACTTCCTGCACTGCACTGGCTCGGAGCTGCTAATCCCCAGGGTGCTGTGCCCTTGAGCGGATTCCCACTTAGGCCACCCCTGTGCAGACCCTAGGCAGACGTGACCGGGCTGTGAGACCTCAGCTGCCCACACCTGCCTGGACGGCACCGCCGCACCCGCCGGCCTCGCAATCCCCTCCGGAGCGAGACCCCGCAGCCCACTTTTGTTCTCATCTTTGGAAGCCACGAGCTGCGCACACCTGCATCCGCCACACCCCACCTGAGTCCCGCTTACCATCTCTTGGGCCACCTCATCCGGCGTCTCCTTCTCCAGGTCGAAGGTGAACTCTATGGCCCCATTGTCCTTGGGCTTTCCCTTCAGCTTCTTGGGGTCTTCCACCCAGAGCCTCAGGGCAATGGTGGACTTCCTGCCGTGGTCCTCCTCCGCGAGCTCCACCCTCACGCCCGTGTCCTCTGCGAAGAAGGCGTGGCTCAGCAGGTCTTTGATCTCGTACCTGGAGGGAGAGCAGCTGACAGGCGGGCGCACGGGTGCCAGGGCCTCCATGCCCAGGCTCCTGTGGCCACGCACACCAAGGCAAGGACAGGCACACCTGCAGGTGCCTGAGGCCAGGCCTCACGTCTCAGCACTCCCAGGGGTGAAGGAAAGATTTCAGTGAATCTGGTCTTACTATTAACACATAGTGTTTTAAGACTTCCTTTATTCCCCGTCATTATTAATAAAAAAACAAAAAAACATGCTCACAAAAGATTCAATGACACAAAAGAGGATTTGGAAAAACATGAGTCCTCCCATTATGCAAATACAGCCCCTGTGGATGCTCTAGCCAGTTTTCCAAGGCCAGAAGACACAACTGAAACATTTTAGTGTTAGTCCTGGGTAGGTCTAAAATGGACACAGAGGCAGAGTCCCCACACACTGAGCTCCCTGTGCCCAGTGCCATGAAGAAGTGACCTTTTCAAGGGGGCTTCCTTCAGGACGCTGGCCAGTTGACAGAGAGCAGGGCAGAGGGCGAGCCACAGGAGAGGACCTGCAGAACCGGGGGCCCAGCCAGACCCAGCCTCGAAGGCTCTATGCGGGATCCAGGAGGGCGAGCCATAGGCTGTTGCCATTGTGACCACTTCGGGGCTCTGCACGGCCTGGCCACCCAAAGAAGCCTCCCTAACCACTAACCTAACCCCCTTTACCCTGTAAATGGAAGCACACAGCACGCACTCTGGGGCCTGGCTTCCTCTGTATGTGCTCCAGAGTCACCTGTGTGGTTCCGAGTATCCACAATCCACCTCTGCTTACTGCTGAGGGGTGTCACATCAGATGGTGGGTGTACTCCAGTGTGAGGGGGAGGGAAGGCTGAGGAAGCACCCCCAGTCTTCCGCCTGACCAGCTGGGAAGGACAGACCCTGCTTGGAGGTGGGGAGCCGGCTTTGTGGAGCAGTTCCAGGCCTGCTGTTTTTGAGAAGGGTTAACCAACCAGGTCCACGAAATACACGTCAGGGCTTCAAAGGGAGGCCCGCATCTAGAGCCGCTGGCATGGGAGTCATGCAGGGAGCAGCAGACGGGCTGGGGAAGCCCTGGGCGCTCAGACACTACAGGCTGGGTCCTGGAGGAGCAGCCAGCCAAGGACAGGACTGTCCCCAAAGCCAAGGAGGGGGCTGTCCCCAAAGTCAAGGAGCGGGTTCCCAGATGACCCACAAGGACGTGAGGCCTGGACTCCTGGCCTGGCGTCGCCCACACGCACTCAGGACCGACGTGCCCACCAGCCCCTGCTGACGTGCCCCAGACACCCTGGCCTGAACCTGTCTGTCCTGAAGTCTTCTCATCAAGAACACAGTTCTCAATGCCAGCTGGAATGAGTTCAGCTGGAGACGGACCCCAGAACCCAGCCCTTCAGGGGAACTCACCTTTCCTCCTTGTTTTTGCAGATACACTCCCCAATAATCTCCTTGATTTCGGGATCGTGCACTTTCTCAAAGCTGGCCGGCTTGATACCCTGACAGGGAGAGAGCAGAGTTACCTGACCCGACCGGCCGCGGAAGGCGAGGTCTCCACCACGGTGGGAGGAACTCCTACTTCCAGTCACGGCAGGACATGGGCATTGGACTAACCTGCACAAACCACTAGAAAACTGGGCAAAGTATGCGAAACAGATGACAGGGCGGTGCCAAATGCGGGCTCTGGGAGAAAGGGACACAATCCCCCATGGCCCCAGCTCACTGCCCAGAGCAGTTCCCAAACAAGGCACCATAACCCAGCAGAGCCCTGTGGCCCCCCTGAGTTGAGGGGTGGAGCTGAGTTCAGGGAGGCTGAGGAGGCCACAGGCAGAATTCCAGAAAGAAGAGAGCATACAGCAAAAAAAAAGAGCCCAAAGTATCTGCACCTGGGTCCCCTCCAGCCTTTGCTGAGGACCACAACACAAAACCACATGTATATAGTCAACGCCATAGGGCCGGGCAAAGAACCACAGGGAGCTGCAGGCAGGGCAGTTTGCAGAGTTCACACAGGTCAGGATGTGTACAATGTACAGCATCCAATAAAAAATTACTAGAAATGCTGAGATGCAAGAAAACGTGGCCCACGAGCCTGCGGAAAAGCCGGCCAACAGAAAGAGACCTGCAAATGAGAGGGGCTGCAACGGGGAGGTGAAAACTCTTCACAGATACACACAAGTAGTAAAGGAAAATGAACATACAAAAATGAGAGATAAAAACAGAACCAGGCCGGGCGCGGTGGCTCAAGCCTGTAATCCCAGCACTTTGGGAGGCCGAGACGGGCGGATCACGAGGTCAGGAGATCGAGATCATCCTGGCTAACCCGGTGAAACCCCGTCTCTACTAAAAAATACAAAAAACTAGCCGGGCAAGGTGGCGGGCACCTGTAGTCCCAGCTACTCGGGAGGCTGAGGCAGGAGAATGGCGTAAACCCGGGAGGCGGAGCTTGCAGTGAGCTGAGATCTGGCCACTGCACTCCAGCCTGGGCGACAGAGCAAGACTCCGTCTAAAAAAAAAAAAAAAAAAGAACCAAACAGAACTCAAGATGAAAAGTACATCTGAATCGAACACTTCACCGCAGCAGACTGACAGCAGATTACACACTGCAGAAAAAAGACGAGTGAACCTGAAGATGTGGTGCAGCAGAGAAAAATGGTCACTGAGGCTCTATTCCGTTCATTTCAGAATCTGGAATGCTACCAAGGTCACACAGGCACATGACATCCACAAAACTGGAATCCCAAAAAGGATAAGGGAACATAAAGACATAACGGCTGAAAAATTCACAACTTTGATGGAAACTCTCTGCCCATAGATGAAGCAAGATAAAGCAGAGCAGGGAATAAACTGGAGAATTCTGTGAAACCACTGCAATTCCCTTCCAAGGTCTCCCCTCCCCACTGCTTGAAGCCAGGAGCCTGGTCTCCTACCATTTAGAACCTTTTGGGTCACCCTATGTCTGTCAAAGCCACCATCACCCCAGCCACAACACACTGCACACCTCCACCTAACCTGCAGAATTCGATACTGGGGTTAACACCTCAAATGCAGCAGTCAGTCTCTGGAAAGGTGTTGATCAGAGCTTCACCGAGCCTCCCAAGTAGGGCCATGAGGGCCCCTGTGCCAGGAGGCTGGCAGAGGCAGTGCCATGACGCGGAGGATGGGACGCCTCCCACAGAGCCAGACCTTTCTAACCACGCCTGGGCTTCCTCCCTACACCTCCTCCTTGAGTGTGCAGAAGTACTATTTGTGGTCACTGCTGCTGGGAAAGGGCCAGGCCATGCGGCTTTGTTGCAGGGGGGTGCAGGTGGCGCCTGAGGGATGGTGGCTCCTCGCCCAGCCGATGGCTGTGCATGAAGGGAGCAGAGGGCAAGCCCTGCAACCGGACTCAAACCTCAGAAGTAGCAGGGCGGGGCCAGGTGCCGCTTGCAATCTGCTAGGTTGTTTTGCATTGGAAGCGGAGTGAGACGGTGTATGAGCAACTAATTTTTAAAAATTTTAAACACAATGGAGGGTACCAACTATCACATTCTTCTTCCTTCAACATGATTCAGCCTTCAAAAGCTTCACCTGACTCTTAATATACAGAATATAAAGCATAAATTTTCCCAAGGTCAGGGAGGACGGTGGGGGCACGACCACCTGCCGAGGCTGCTGGAGCCCCCAGCCTGGGGCAGACACAGGAGTGAAGAACCTAAGGGCTCTGCCCAGTAGTGTACACCCCCAGGGTCAAGGAGCACCACCAGCCCCTTGGGATGGCTTCCGGACAGACCACCATCCACCCTCCACAGCAAACCCAGGGGCCCTCCCATCCCACACCAGCACCCCAAGTCCTGGCAAATGGAGCTCTTGATCTCTGGAGCGCCCACTTCCCCCTGCTGCAGACCATCCCTGCCTCCCTGGAGGGCCGCTGCACACAGCCCGCAGGTCCCTACTCCTTCCAGCACCCACGGAAAACTGTGCACCTGTCTGTGAAGTTTCTGACCCAGGCCCACAAGTGAGCCAAGAACTCCGTCTGCCCTCCCACGTCCTCAAGAGCACACAGGAGGGGCTCAGAACAACCAAGCGACTGATGATTTACAACAACCAAGGGACAGAAATGCAAGTAATCTGCAAGGAGGGCTCAGGAAGGAGGGATGGGTCAGGGTGAGGCTGCGCAGCTGCTGAGGACCACAGCCCCTGGTACACTGGCAGAAGCAGCCACGGTGCCGCAGAGCAGCACTAAAGGGCAGCGCGGCCCCATCCAGTCAGGCGGCATGTGGAGACAGCAGCAACTGCAGGGTTCAGGGCAGCCTGGGCCCTCAGTGTGGACACCACGTGTCAGGGACAGCTCTGCAGGCCCCTGGGCTTCACGACAAGACGCACGGTGCAGAAAACAGGCACAGAAAGCCTCGGCCTGGCCATTCCATTTCCAGATGTTCTGTTTGCATTCCCCCCACCCAGCGGGGCCACCACAGAGGGAGGACAAGACAGATCTGTTTATGCAGCTGAAGCCATCCGATTAAAGAAAAAAAACCACAGCGACAGCAAAACAGGGATTAATGTTCCCAGCTGCCCGGTGCTAACGACTGCCTAGAGACACACTTGGTGTAGGGGTGACTGGTTTAGCTGAAAAAGAAATCAAACCATTGTTTCAAAATAAGATAGGAAAGCAGGCAGCCATGGGCAGCCCAGAGTGTGAGCACTGGGGATGGGTGGCCTGGGCACGCCTCCGGGCAGGGGGCTATGGTGAAGCTCCAGCCGCTCTGAGCCTCAGTCTCCCCACCGTCCCTGCTGTGAGAGCAACAGCCTCCATGGCTAAGCACTGCCCACAGCGCCCCACGCACCACCATCACTTCAGGTAGGAGACCTTGAGTAACCAACCCCCTACTAAGCCTCCGTTTCCCCCTCTGTAAAATGGCCAATCTCCTTCTTTACCCAGCTGCCAGGAGGGCTTCACAGAGGCACATGGAGCCCAGCCCAGGGCACGGCCCAAGGCCTCCATGTCCTTATTAATTAACCAAGGGGCCAGGTGGACTCACACAGGTGACCTTGCGGTAGATCTGGGCCGCGTTCTGGCACTCCGAGTAGGGGTACTCCGAGGTGGCCATCTCCAGCATGCACATCCCAAAGGCATAGACGTCCACGGACTCATCGTAGTGTTCCTCGTACATCTCGGGCGCCATGAACTCCGGAGTACCTGCGCCCGGGAGCAACAGACACAGTGGTCAGCTGGCCACGGGCCCAGGAAGAGCTGGAGCCAGTGTCCCGGGAGCTTTGGCTGCCCAGAGCCCCATGTCCCCTCCACATCCCATGGCACACTCAGAACACCTGGACCCCAGGGCCAGCCCTGCCCCTCACTTGGGACACAGGTGTGCTTTACAGACGGAGGGGTTCCAAAAGTTCCACCTGGAACCACAGGAGTCCAGAGTTAGAAATCAGGTGACAGAGCCATCCCCTGCTCATAAGCTGGGAGGCTACGACTTCCCAGGGGACGGGGTCCGAGCCTGGAAGGAGGCAAACCCCTGAGCACGCCCTCGCCTGTGGACACTGTGATCCTGCCACAGGCTCGGCTGCAGCCACGTTCAGATGCCCTGGAGCACAAAGAACTTAGGTTACTACAGAGCTACCTAAAGCCGCAAAACCCCCAAATGTCCCAACGCGGGGAAAGGCTGGGTACACTCAGCCCACCCCACAACAGTGTCACGCAGCACATACAACAATCAGCAACACCGAAGACAGCGCCCCTGAATGGGGGTGGGGTAGAAAATGGTGCCCACTGACAGAACCACAGAGTTGCTAAGAAGGGAACTGCACGTGGCTCTTGAACACAAGAGATGCACAAACAGTGTCTTGACTAAGTTTTAAGGACGTGGCGAAGTTACCATAGGCTGAGTAAAATGATCATGAGGCTAGACGTGCCGGCTGGTCTCACCTGTGCAAAACCAAACTCCCAGGGCAAGAAGACGTCTGCGGGCACGACCGCTGATTTTTCTTTTACTTATATTGGTCTGGGGTTTCTCTATTCTCTATAATAAGCTTTTACGTTCATAACACAGCAACTGGAAAGGCCTTTTTATTAACATAAGTCCAGGTGCGTGTCTGTCACGCTGAATGCAAGGAAAGGCGACTAGAGACTTCAGTACGGATGTTTTTAATGTCTGGATATTTGTTGACTTTGGAAGGTCTTCAAAATGTTCTAGTTTCTTTTTAAAAGCTCATGCTAACTAATTAGTGCGTTTTAAAAGCACATGTTTTGCTTACCCGTCATTTCAATTTAAAATGTGTTACTTTTTGTTTTTTTTTTGAGACGGAATCTCGCTCTGTCCCCCAGGCTGGAATGGAAGGGCGCGATCTTGGCTCACTGCATCCTCCACCCACTAGGTTCAAGCAATTCTCCTGCTTCAGCCTCCAAGTAGCTGGGACTACAGGCGTCCGCCACCATGCCCAGTTAATTTTTTTGTATTTTAGTAGAGATGGGGTTTTACCATGTTGGCCAGGCTGTTCTCGAACTCCCAACATCAAACGATCTGCCTGCCTCGGCCTCCCAAAGTGCCCAAAGGGCTGGGATTACAGGTGTGAGCCACCATGCCTGGCCACTCTTTTTTAAAGTTAACGTTTTAGATAAAAATTGGGACCAGAATATCGTTTAGATTTCAGTCTATGTACACAGAACTCTGGAAGAACCCATGAGAAACAACAGGAGCTGAGTGGAGGGACCTGGTGCTGGAAACTTTTATCCTTTTGGGTTTTTCAACCACATGATTATACTGAAAATCTGCTGCACTAGCCTTTTTTTTTTTTTTTTTTTGAGACAGGATCGTGCTCTGTTGCCCAGGCTCGAGTGCAGTGGCATGAACACAGCTCACTGCAACCCTGACCTCCTAGTCTCAAGCAATCGTCCCACCTCAGCCTCCCAAGTAGCTAGGACCACAGGTGTTCACCACGCTGGGCTAATTTCTTTATCTTTTTTTCCTTTCTTTCTCTGTCTTTCCCTCTCTTTCTCTCTCTCTTTCCTTCCTTCCCCTTTCCTTCTTTTTTTCTCTCTTTTTTTTTTTTTTTTGTAGAGACAGGGGTCTCACTGTGTTGCCTAGGCTAGCCTCCAACTCCTGAGCTTAAGCAATTCTGCTTCAGTCTCTTAAAGTGCTAGGATTACAGGCATGAGCTACTGTGCCAGGCCCTGTACTGATAATTTTTAAGTTAATATTTTTAAGTTTCTTTCCTTTCCTAAGCTTCTCACTAAATAGCGGCCCTGTTGGAGCAGGAAGCAAAAATGCCACAAAAGGAAATGGCCTGAGCTGTGGCTGGGAGCCTGGCCTGACCACAACGTGAACACCTGCTCCCTGTCCTCTCCCACTCTCTTGATGTGTCAGGGGTCCCCTGGCAGCCACCTGGAGGGATTCACTGCCTGCTGCATGGGCCTGGACCTGCCACAGCCACCAAGGAGGCCCTCCTAATGGCAGCGGGCACACAGGGAGACGTGACGGCTGACTCAGGGGAAAGCCCCAAGCCACAGGTGGGAAGCACTCACTCCCCAGGGCCACCTCGGTTGTCCACAATGACACCCACGCTACCCCAGCCCTGTGACTGCAGAGAGGGACTTCTACAAAGCTCCTTCCTGCTAGGAGGGTATGACGGGGAGCCCCACAGCCACATCCTAGGCCCTCAGCCCGGCCATATCTGTATGCACGAAAAAGCTTCAAGGGAGCCCCAACCCCAGGGCTGCTGGGCAGGAAGCCAGGAGCTGAGCCAGCCACTCTCTGGCACCTGCAAGGACCCCAATGGCCTGGCTGCCAGCACAGTACTGGGGGGTCTAACAGAGGTGACAGTGTCCCTGGGCTCCAGCTCTTCTGAGACCCTCAGGAACCGAGGATGCTACTCTGTAGGAACTACTCCAAGGCCCCAGACAACCTGGCTCTGAGGGGTGGATCACAGATATAGGGGCAGCTCTGAGTGGGGGCACAGGGACCCCTCATGAAGCCCACTCTTGCACATGCTCAGACGCTGGTGCTCAGACACTGATGCACTCAGACTCTTTTTATCTTTCCCTCAAACTGCAGTCACTTAAATCTGAATTCTAAAAATGGGCGTGTATGTGTGTGTCCAGTGGACAGTCTCACCCACTGCCCCCCACTCCGTGGACAGCCATCAGCTGCAGAGCCACCCAATGGGGCACCCCTGCCCGCAGCCCCCTCTGCACATTCATCTGCACCTGAAGTCCCTGCAAACAACTGTGCAAAAGTCAGGATGTCAGGGCTCTGTCTCCCTCAGCCAAGCCAGAGCCTGCCTGTGCCGACTGGCAGTGTAGGCCCCACACAGCCCCCTCCTGCCGCAGGCAGATAAGGGCTCTGGCGGAATGGCCCTTCTTCTTTTCAAGGAGAAGCGACTGTGGCTCAGCCCTCTGTGGTTACTAGGCAGTCTCGGTTCCTGGAGGGTGGGGTCCCTGCTTCTGGCCAGATAAGAGGAGGGAGGGACCCACTCCAGCCTCATGCCAAAATCACCTTGTATCCCCTGAAAACCACCCTGCATTAGGGTTTGCTTGTTTCCAGATCTGTAACGAAAGACAAATGACTTTCTTTAGGGAAATCAAAAGATTCCTTAGCCCTAACTATCTTCACCATTTCTATTAAAACCAAACCAACACAGACGGCCCTCATCCTTCCTCTCACCAGACAGGCAGAACCCACCTCCCGGGCTCTCAGGGGGGCAGGCGAGCAGGCAGCACCTGCTGGCAGCAACAGCTCCACTGCCTGGAGCCCCCCTGAGTGCTGCTTAGGGGCTGCAAGAGGGTCTGGATAAAGTGCCACAGCCACTCAACAGCCCAACCCCTCCCATCATCCAGGGCAGCCGGTGGCTCTTTCTACAGTAACCACCCTCGGTTCACTTTGGCCCCTCCTCAGTTCATTCACCACTGAATCTGCTTCCATCATCACCTCCTCCAGGAAGCCCTCCCAGGTGGGCAGGGCACCTCCGAGGCACACAAGACCCTGTTCATTCACATGGCTAGGCCCAAGGGTCATGGTCGGGGCCCTCACAATGAGAATGACATCGGGCACAGGGACCCCGTCTCCCTCAATCTATCCAGGTCCCTCCCAGAGCAGCCCTGGGAAGCCGGTGGCTGACCCTGGTCCCTCGCACAGGCCACATGTAAAATGCAAACCAAATGCCTACTTGCTCTCCTCTCCTATCTGCAAGAGGAGACCTTGAGAGCCTCAGCTGAAAGGGGCCCACAGCACCAACTGCCCCAAGGGCATTCATTGGTGAGCAGGGAGGGCCCTCCTCCTGAGGAGACAGGGGCCTATGGCCTGAGGCTGTCCTTCCAACAGGACCATGCATCCCAGAAGGACACAGACCCCAGGAGGGTTGGACCCCTTTACCACCAGGGCCAGCACTTGTGGGTTGCCAAAGCCAACACCATTCACAGGCCAGGGGAGCCCTACTAACAGGCCTGGGGGGCTCCTATAAATAGACCTGGGGCTCCCATTCATAGGAGCTGGGGGACACCTAGGTAATAGGGCCTAAGGGGAACCCCCGAACTGGCCACAGTCCCCCACTTCCACCCCCGCCAGCTGCTGGCCCCTTGCTGAAGATTGGCCTTACTGCCCAGAGCCCCGGGGTGTCACATCAACACAGTCTCATTCTCTAGGAGCCTGAGCAGCTGAGGACACCCCTGGTTGCAGCCTCTCTAACCAAAGCTTCCTGGACTCCAGCGGAGCAAAAGCTGGGGTGACGAGGGACAGCCCACAGAGCCGGGCAACCATGCGGGTCACAAGGTCTCCACACTGTGCCTGCTGGAAACACCTGGCCTTCATCTCAACCCGATCCAGCAACTCAAAACCTCATCTCCAAGAGGGCAAAGAGCCACCCAGCCGGAGGAAGCCGAGGGGCTCTGCCAGGGCGGCCGCTTCATAGTGGGCTGTGCTTCTTCCTCCAGGAGTGTTGACCCCTGAGTGGGAGATCCCAAGCCTCCCTCCTGCCACCCGACTGCGCCCGGGGTTTGAGACCTGGGTTCCTACCACTTCCGAGGTCAAACCTGCAAAATCTGCCCAGAAAGTGTGCAGAGCTCAAAGCCCTGGGGAATGGGCTCCCCACGGTCCTGGGCCCCTGCTCTCAGCCCCTCCAGGAGGGAGTGGAGACCCTCACCCATACACCCATTTCACAGATGGGGAAACTGAACCCTGGGTCAGCCCCTATGCCCCACCACTCAGCTCCCCCAGAATGCCAGAGGCTTTGTGTCCACAGGGCCACCCCCGGGCAGCCACCCTGCCCCAGATGTCACATTCTGAAGACACTTCCCAAACCAAAGCAGCTCTGGAGTCTCATTTTCCCCATACCTGCCAAGTTCTGTCCCCAAACATGCAGCAGAACTAAGAATTCACAAAGCCCCAAGAACTGCTCACTGTCCTGCCCTCACATTAGGGGCACACTGGGTCTTAAAATCAGGGAGCCTCTCCCAGTCTAATCCGATCGGGTCCCATCTAGGCTTCCTGAGCCCTGACCCATGCTTCTTGCCCTGCACATGTTGGAGCTTTCCCATCATCCTGACCCCAGAAACAGCTGCTCCACGACCACCCAAGCATCTTTTCAAAGTCCGTGGAGGCCCCACCCAGGACCAGTGGACACTTCACACCCACTGTGCCAGGAACACATGTGGGACCAGGCACATGGCACAACGCAGACCCCTGGTCTCTGCAAAGAAGCTGTCCCTAGGGTCGAGGGCATCTCAGCCCAAAAGAAGGCTGGGAAGGCTTCTCACAGGAGGGGCGCCTGCACCGAGGCCTGAAATGCCCAACAAACTGAATTAATTACTCGGCGCCCTGTTCCCCTGTGCACAGCGCCTGCTGTGTGCCCCGCTCCGCAGGTATGTAGATTCCCCAGATACTCCAAGTTCTCACTGTCTCGGGCCTCACAGCCTGGGTGGCCCCTTCCTGCCCACTGAGACAGCTCCAGCATCACTGGCTACAAACTTCCCAAGTTCCTCTGTGGTCAGGGCAGCTTCCCTCTCCCGAGTGCCCACAGCGCCCACACATACCGCGAGCATCGGCACCCAGCCCACCTCCCCTGCTAGACAATCAGAGCTGGCACCCAAGCCACAGCCAGGGAGGGAACACAAAGACCATCTGGGGCCAGAGTCGGACAAGGCGGGGGCAGCAGGGGAGGGAGGGAGCCAAGTCAGCTGTCCCAGCCCAAATGGCCTGCGAATCCAACGAGTGGGCAGGCCCTCCAGCTGAGCTACCAAAGGCTTGGCGGCGTAGCCCAGACACCCCGGCCTGAGGCTCCTGTGCCCAGACGCTCCTCCCACTGGGTCTCCTGCACCAGGTCTGAACAAAACTGGATGCTCGCCAGCCCTGAACACTGCCCAGCTTCTCATGGGCTCCCAGGGCCTGGGGAGGAGAAGCAGGTTTACCTATCACACTTTTGGCAAATGATGCTCTTTTGAGAGTGGCCAGGCCCAAGTCGCCAATCTTCACAGACCCAGTTGGTCCGGTGATAAAAATATTGTCGCATTTCAGGTCTCGGTGGATGATGGGCGGCGTCCTCGTGTGCAGGAACAGCAGGCCCTTCAGGATCTGCCGGCACCAGCTGCGGAGAACCTTGGGCTTCATCACCTTGAACCGCTTCAGGTACCTGCAGGGGTGCACAGGCACAGCTCACCAAGCAGCTCACCGGCAGCGGCCCCCTAGCAAAGCCCCCACCTAACACTGCTCAGGAAGTCCATTCCAGTGCACATGACGCACACCTGTGACAGGTAGTGAAGGTGAGATGGGAAGGCCGGACAGTTCTGCCCTGGAGCCAGGCCCCTGAGCAGGCAGCAGGGTGGGCTCACGACCCTCTTGCTCCCCTCATGCCAAGGACCTGGCTGCTAAAGCTCATACTAAGCTCCATCTTGGCCTCACGGGGAGACGGTGCCAGGCTGACTTACAAGTTGCCCAAGGCAGGACAGAGTCCCGGCCAGCAGATGCTCAGGTGCGGGGGTGAGGGTAACGAAAGCCCAGGGCCTGTCAGAACCACAGGGGCCAGGTGGGGCTCTCCCTGCCACTGGCCACCTGTGTGGCCTGCCCTGAGCTGTGACCTAGGAGGAGGTGGTGGGTGAAGCTGAGAAAAGGCTCTCCCCTTGCAGCACATCCACCTATGAGGGAAACCGCCTGGCTGAGGGGCACTGAAGCCCTGCCTAAGAATGCAGGGTCCAACGATTCAGGTGGACCCAGGATACAGCACCAGGCGGGGAGCCCCCATCCCCACAGTGCAGACTGGGGGCTTAGTGAGCAGCAACAAGCTGCCGTGGCCACCCCACTCCCCACTCCCCAACCCTCGCTAACCACCTCCACGTCCTCAGAATCCCACAGTCCCCACTGTGCACCCTGCCCAGCCTGCGTCCTGAGCCTGAGGATGTGCCGGGCTGGCTCCCAGACGGAAACAGAACCCCAGCCAGAAACAAGGCCCAGACACCACAGACACATCAACCATCTCCCTGGGAAGTCAAGCACCTCCTGGCATCCCACACAGGAGAGGAAAGAGGAGACAGCCTCCCACAGGCACCAGCCAGGACCGCCCCAGCAGCCCAAGACCTCACCCCCAGCTATGGTGGCCCTGTACCCATGCCAGGACCTGCCCCAGCCCTCCGGAAGCGGAGCTTACGTCTTCAGTGTCCCTGAGGTCATCAGCTCGGTCACCAGCACAATGCACCGCTTGCCCTTGGCGCTAGACTCCCAGAAGTCGTAGAAGCGCACGATGTTGGGGTGCTGCAGGCCTTTCAGCATCTCAGCCTCTTCCTTGAACCGCTGCCGCTCCAGCTTGGTGAGCTTCCGGTCCTAGAGGGCCAGAGACATGCTAAGTGAGCAAGAGATGGGACACAGGAGGGGACACGGCGGTGTCACATCCCAGCGGCGCAGTAGGACCAGCCCTTCCCGTACCCACAGGCAGCTGAGTGGCTACGACAGAGGGGCACGCAGACACTGGCACCATAACTGCTGACTCCTAGGCCCCCACAACCCTGGACACAGCCCCCACAAAGGAACCTCAGCAAAAAGACATCCTAGGAAGCCGAAGGTCTCGTAAATCCACACAGCCACACTTGAGCACTTCTCCCAAAAATACACCTCTAAGGCCTTTGCCTCCTCCACAATCACTCCCATTCTGTGTGTTTGTGAAAAGAATGAATCATCAGTTTACTTCTAATGTATACACAACTCGGAGGAAGTGCTCAGGGCCCAGTAGATTGGAACAGAGGAGATGTGGACAGGTGACTGAGACAACAGCTGAGAATGGAGGGAAGAGAAAAGCCCCAGCAGAGACAAACTGACCAACAAGCAGCCCAGAGGGCAGCCCAGGCCCTCCAGTGCAGGAGGGACACAGCAGATTACCTCCCCAGACCTTTGGCCCACTGTGTCCACACAAGCCAGCAGAACCAATCACTGACCTAAGTTTACAATAGAAAACAGCAAACAAACACGACCATCATCACCCGGGAGCCCTGGTCAGGTGCATGCCCCACATGCCCGCTCTACCCACCATCCCACAAGGGGACCACCAACCCCGGGCACCACATTCAAACATGCCCCAGCACCGGCCACCCTCCCGCCGCCTGCCCAACCTCCGCCTCTCCCCTCTGACTCCCGTCACCCATCCCTCGCCACCCTGTCTCCCACCTCCTCCCTCACTGCAGTCCCCCTGGATCCTGGCCCTTCCCTTTCCCCAAATACTTCAACAGATTCTCTCCACAGAGGGTTCAGAATAAATCCAGGGAGCCCGCATGGTCCTGAAGGCTCCATGTGCTTCCAACTTCCCCTCACGAGGTGATAGCCATGTCCAAAGGCCCAGTCAAGGACTCTCCTCCTGCTGCACACATGCCATGCCCTTCTCATCTCCACCCGGGGTCCTGCCCTCAGGATCCACTCCTTGTCTTGGTCCAATGAGCCCACGGAGCAATGCCGGCCTCCGTCCCACCATTCCCATGAGAACGTCAGAAAAGAAACGTGTATTTTCAGAAGGAAACTAGAAACATAACTGAACACGGAACAGCACAATTCCAGGGAATTCTAAACAGACAGAAAGCAAGGAAATCTGGACTGATGAGGGGAGAGATCAGAGTGAAAGGAAAGGCAAGCCCAGACCCCTGGATCCTTCCGGAGAGGCCCAAAGAACGTCAAGCAAGCCAGACTCCAAAGCAGAGAGGAGAAGCGGGCGGCAGGATCGCGACAAGGGTCATCTTGGGGAAAAAAATTACATCCCAAATGCGGCCACGCCCATGAGACCCTTCTTCCTCCATCAACCCGCCAGACCCCTCCCCACAGCAAGAACCCTCATGCGCCCCTTCATTCCAGTATGGGACTTCGCGGTGACTATCACCACAGGGCCAGGCAATACCCAGAGAAGCCACTGTCATGATGGGGCCAACCGAGAAAACAAAGAATTCAGAGACCAACGGCAACTCCCAAAAACATCTAATTAATGTTCCCATAAAGACTCAAGAAGTTGACACAAGTAAGTAAAATCAAGCTTCTATTGAGAAAGGAACACTCGAGAAAGAGCTCTTGCAAATTAACACAGGGATGGGGACTGCCTTTCCTAACAAGCTCAGTGTTATTTTAGAAATAAGATATTCCACAATCCAGTGAAACATTGCGTACAAAAAAGTTCATGTTTAATCCAGACAATAAAATGCAAACAATGCTCTACTCATCAAAAACGACTCTTTAAGCCAGGTGCGGTAGCTCACGCCTGACTCCCAGCTACTCGGGGTGCTGAGGCAGAGGATGGCTGGAGCCCAGAAGCTCGAGACCAGCCTGGGTAACACAGCGGGACCCCATCTCCAAAAAAATGGTTATTTATTTAAGTCAAGTCACAAACTGGGAAAAACTATTCTCAATACATATATCTGACAAAGGACTCAGATCCAGAATGTATAGAGAACTCCTGAAATTCAGTAATAAACATGTGAACAGATACTTCACCAAAGACACAGAAATGGCCAACAGCACACGGAAAGTGCCTGAGCATCATCAGTCACTGGGAAAATGCCAACAAAGACCACACTGAGATATACCCCACACCCACCAGAAAGGCTAAATTAAAAGACGGATACGGCCGGGCGCGGTGGCTCACGCCTGTAATCCCAGCACTTTGGGAGACTGAGGCGGGCGGATCATGAGGTCAGGAGATCGAGACCGTCCTGGCTAACACAGTGAAACCTGCCTCTCCAAAAAATACAAAAAAATTAGCTGGGCGTGGTGGCGGGTGCCTGTAGTCCCAGCTACTCGGGCGGCTGAGGCAGGAGAATGGCGTGAACCCGGGAGGCAGAGCTTGTAGTAAGCCAAGATCGAAGATCGCGCCACCGCACTCCAGCCTAGGCGGCAGAGCGAGACTCCATCTCAAAAAAAAAAGATGGATACTTCCAGCTGCTGGGGAGGCTGGGGAACAGCGAGCCCCACCTGGCACACTGCTGCCAGCAGTTCAGGTGGTGCAGCCCTCAGAGGACGGCTTGGCAGGGTTCACACCTGCTCTGTGTCCAGCCACTCCCCTCCCAGGATCCATCTGGGAGGAAGGAAAACATAAGTCCATAAAAAATGGACTTGGATACTGGAAGCAGCATAATTCATCCTAGCCCCACCTGGAAACCACAAAAACATTTGGGGCCAGGTGAATGAACCGTGCTGCACCCATCCAAATGGGGCCATGGCTCAGCAGCCAAAAGGAGCACACTCCTGCCTCTCAGCAGCAGAGGGGAAGGCCGAAAGCATCGCACCGAACAAAAGAGGCCAAACAAAAGACTATGTCCGGTAGGACCCCATCTTCATGTGAAACTCTGGAAAAAACAGACTAATATCTGGGGGATGCCATCAGAATAATGGTTGCCTCCGGGGTGGGTAGAAGTGGGAGCCAAGAGATCTCGGGGTCGGGGGTGAGAGAGACATGTTCCACATCATAACAGCACACGTGGGCTGCACCTCTATGTGCGTTTGTCAGAGCTCGACTTGCACACATAAGTTCTGTGTGTTTCATTACATGCAAATTACCCTTCAATTTTTCATATGTAAAAACAAAAAAAGGAAAAAGATCCAAAGACCAAATGAGAGAAGTAGAAGAAAGAAAATAGAAGAGAAACATTAAGAGACATGGAAGAACCGCCTGGAAGTCAAACTATGTCAAAAGGGTTCTAGGAACAGGAACCAGGAAGTATAAACAGATGGTAGAATAGCATTTCCCTGAGCTGGAAGGAGAACGATTTAGAATAAAACAGCCCACCAAGGCCAGGTCAGAGTAAATGAACAGCCCACCTCCAGGCTGTTCTAGTGAAATGTCAGCACCCCAAGCAAGTCCTATCCACAAAAGACGGCCCAGATGAGCAGTGACTCTAAAAGGAGACACTGGGTGCAGGTGGCGGGGACAGTGTCCTCAACGTGCTAACTCGGAATTCTATACCCTGCCAAATGGACACGAAGCCAGGCGGCCCGGACTCATTTTCAGACATGCAGGAGCTCAAAGTTAACTTCCCATGCAGTCTAGGTGGAACAAGTTCCCAGAAGAAATGTTTCCACAACACACAACACAACATAACACAACAGAAAAACATGCACCCAGGGTGACCCTCGAGGTCCCTGGGGGTGAAGGAAGCTGGAGAGGAGATGGCAGTGCTCAGCTAGGCCAGTTCGCCCAGGAAGCCTTCTCTGGGAAACAGCATGTCAGTTTACGATTCCCTTTCAGTGCGCTTAGTCCTTGATTCTAGGAGAAACTCAAAGAATCATTTATAGCACAAGTTATTTTTGCCAGTGTTTTAGCACCAACAGTAACGTGTAAAAGATTTCATTGTAGTTTCAGAGCAAAATGTTCACATTCTAAATGACTAAGAAGAAACAGGAGGTGGGGGGCGTACCCTGCATGCACTACAGTCTTTGTTTTTCACAGCAGTTACCTACCGAAGTTGATAAATATAAGACATGAAAGTCAGAAATGGTTAACAATGGTGCCTCTTACAGGTGGGCCTGGAAGGGAAGAGGATCTCATTTTAAATTCCAGGCCACACGACTATTTTAATCAACATGACACATTGCTTGGTGATTTTTATGGTAGGGGAGACAGGGTCTCACTCTGTCACCCAGGCTGGAGTGCCATGGTGTGATCATAGCTCACTGCAGCCTCAATTTCCTGGGCTCAGGTGACCCTCCCACCTCAGCTTTTTGAGTAGCAAGGACTACAGGCGCATGCTACTATGCTGGCTAATTTTTTTTTTTTCTTAGAGATGGTGGTCTCACTATGTTGCCCAGGCTGCTCTTGAACTCCTGGGCTCAATAGATCCTCCTGCCTTTACCTCCCAAAAGTGCTGGGATTACAGGTGTGAGCCACCACGCCCAGGCTGCTTGGTACTTTAACGGTCAGTTAGTGTGCCCCCTCCGAGCCCCGCCCGGAGCCCACCTACAGGGTGTGCTGCCCCGCACAGAGCCTGTCCACATCCTCATCGCTTGTTTGCTGATCTCGGGTTGGCCTGCATTGCAGGAGCAACTCCATGAACATCTGTGGGCTGAACTCACTCATTAACCTACCAGGAAGGCTCACAGTCAACAAGCCACGGCAGGAAGATGCACCTGATCCCTAAACGATTCCCAAATTCTGCCCGGCTCACACAGTGCTTCAAGGTTTGGTGTTGAGTCAGGGGCGGGGGGCTCCTGGCTGCTCACTCAACACGATACTCCTCCCTCCCGGACACTGGAGGGTAAGGTCAATGAGCACCAATCTTCCTCCTACCAAGTCCCCAGTGCTATGCAAATTCACGGCTCTTGTTCCCTCATAGTGGTGAAAATCAATCAGACGACAA